TTTTCATTTCTCTGTTCTGTGCTTCTTCTTGTACTTGCAGAGCTTGGATGTGGCCTGTGTGGTGTCGTACAGATGCGTATATCTTGTAGTGGAGAAATCCTGTAGTTATGACACAAACAGCGTCTTTGGCTGCAAACATAATCCCAGGAACTCTGTTTGGAATCCATTCCAAACCAGCTGCAGGAAAAACTAAAGAAAGAAATGCGCTTATAACCCAAGTAGATATCACTACAGCAATAACACGCTTGTGGGTTACAAGTTCCTGGTACCTGAGATGAAGATGAATTGCTAAGAATCTATCAACAGTTATAGCGACAACACTAAACAACGATGCAGTTGCAAGTGCAGCTGTAAGTGTTTCAAAGAAAATGGCAAATACTGTATCATAAGCATTATCGCCAGTGTTTTGTGGTATTTGAATAATAAGATGTGCAATAAAAACAGGGTGGGCAAGTAAACCAACAGCGAGATCAGAAGCAGCCAAACTCAAGAGCAATGTTTTCAAAGTCCTTGGCAACGACGACGTTTTCCTCAGCGCTTGTATTGTTATGATGTTTAACGCGATAGCGGTGTAAAACAAGAAAACGTTAAGGATGCAGTTAGTGACCGGCGTTGAATACCAAGCCTCCTCTCCTGTCATTGTGAGAGGTTATATAAAAACTGCAATGACGTGTTAGTGCTTCCTATGTAAAGGAAGACTTTTGCAAAGTTTCCATTGGCCTGTTTAAAGTAAGTTTCTCACCGGCACCTGCCCCACTTTGTAGTCTTCCGTTCTATTTTTTCCGTTTCGCAGTTAAATTTCTTAGCCCACTGACTGCCTATAAAGTCTACAATGAAATATTCATTTTATCCTTATTTAAATTTGTTTTCTAACGGAACTGACCGGGGGGGAGGGGGGGGGGTGGAGGACTCCCATTCAGATTACCTAAGGCTACCCGGTATGCCATGCCTTAAGCAGGGTATCATTCATTTGGTATTGTAGTCCTTTGATAGGGTGCCAAATATCACGGGACCTGATCCGTCTTAAAGACCTAAAACTAAGTTATCTTAACAAAAACCATCCAACAACACTCACTCCAAATTTGTATGCGTTATGAATTGTCCATGTAAACGTTTTGCATTATCGATTTTCCCTCAAACAGGGTGTCATTTTTCCTTTATGGACGTTATTTCCTTTTACAAAATAAGCCTAAAACCCTTCGTGACACGCGCCTATCCTAAATTGGCTTAAGTACTCCCCCCGAAAATGTTAATCATCTAGGCCAAGTTTTGCGGATGACGCAGAGAACACCAAACACGAATTTTAATATAAAGGGTTCTTTAGTGTCAATTCGAGCTCAAAAAGCTCATTAGACGGCACACCACCGAAATTGGAATTTATTTCAATGCTTATTTAACTTTTTGAGAATACAATTAGCGTTGATGGTAATACAGCAGCTGGTTCTTGGTGCATCACAAATATCAACGGTAGAAAAGCAGGAACTAAACATATCATGGCCCCTCAGTCGGCATAAGTTCAAAAATGGATCAATAAAAACCTGTTACAACTCTTGGTCACAGTGTGATCTTTACTTACAACGAATGCCTTTTGGTCTTTTAAGGATGTTTCCCCTAATTGTTTGTGCATATTCTTACTGAAAACTTAACTCATGTTTGTAATGTCACAACCCGCGCACAAGCCAGCAAGCTATTACGGTAACGTAGACAGCTTTAAATGGTCGCTGACTCTGACACTGAATAATTTGCTTTACCAATTTGTGGGAGGTAAAAAGATAAAATTGATGAACAAAAACATGTCTCTGAGAACTTTGTAAGTTTTTAATTTTTCAGTCAACACGACGTCGATTCGTCATTAATAAAAAATAAACTTCGTTACAGAGAGATGAAACTTTATTGCGAAAAAGTATAATATTTCCTTTGCAGCGGGAATGCAGTGAATCAAGACAGTTAAACAACAAAAAAATAAATATGTAAATCAATAATATAATAATAATAATAATAATAATAATAATAATAATAATAATAATAATAATAATAATAATAATAAGAAGAAGAAGAAGAAGAAGAAGAAGAAGAAGAAGAAGAAGAAGAAGAAGAACTGAATAAAGACATATAAATTAAAAAAATAGTAATAATAAGACAAGCACAAACAGGGACAAAAACTTTGCTGGTTGGTCTTAGTCAAAACAAGGTACATATGTATAGAACCTGATCCGACTGTCACCTGATCCAGGATCTTCATTTACAGTTTATGTTCAACAGTCCAAGTTGACGAGTTTTAGACAGTTAGACCGAAATATTAACAATCTGTCAAGAAAATGACATGCTTTTTTAAATAATAACTTCCATTAATTCTTAAGTCTTTTTTGTTTTAGTCATTGATATCAAAGGTTTTAACGGGAGTACCTGGAGAGTACTAAAAGTTATTTAGCTGCGTAGAAGGAAGAAGAATTACCAAGTCCTAACTGACGATTAAAGTGCTCTTCTCTTTTAGTCGTTTTATTTTATATTATCTGGTTAAAAAAATGTATGCTTTCTTTCAAAGCTACAGCTGCTGTTTTCGATGTAATAGGTAGTTGTTATTGGCTAGTAGCGATCACCTGGTCTCTTCGCCCCACCATTCAGGCAATCATATACGCGTAGGGAGAGAATTCACGCGCTCGCGACTATCGCGAACCCGCGCCGGCTTATTTCAGTTCTTTAACGGCTGGTCTCCACAAACGAACTTTCGGCTTGCATTTTCGCAAATTTATTACATACACATCACCGTTGACCTAACAATTTTGTCGCAGCTTAACGGGAACTTTTTGTATAAACTATTCTTTCAAATGTTGACATTGTAAATGTTGACATTGTTTTGCTCTTTCTCGCCGACATTGACATGTATATAGAAACCCCTGCAAACTGTTCATCAAAATAACTCATGGTTTAAAGCTTGACAAGTAAATTATTCAATGGTCAGCATAATACTTTCAATACTTGGTTCAATATATAACGAAAATCTTGAGAAACTTAGCGAATACCGAGACCTACAATAGACCTTTTGAATCTCTTCGCCTTCTTTTTTAATGCAGTTCGACTCTGATAACCATAGAACTGTTGAAGGCTATAAATACATCAATGGTCCGCCAGTGCTGCGTGCAACAGAGGGAATAGGAGACGTCTGCACACAGGCAAGCCAGTGCTTGGCTCGAAATTTTAGGTAAAAGTAAAGAAAATAGTGTACAAAATACTCACGTTTCGTTTCCATGTTGCTGTTCCCGTAAAATTTTGTTCCCTTTGTGCAAACGGCCACACTGCTGGCGCGAAATTGGAAGTCACGTGACGCGGCCGCGATGTTCGCGTAACCAAACGAGCCAGAGGGCGGGCTGGGTGTCGTCTAAGACGGTGATTAACAACGGGAAGCGGGTTTAATGAGGGATTTACGTTGCCTTAAAATACTCATCTTCAGAAAAAACGGTTTGAACGTTCTTTTAAAAAAGAGACAAAAATCAGCGTTCATACAAATGGTAAAGCCACTTACAAAGGAGACAGAAGATTCTTACAAAACTAAGCAGTTTTAACTTTTACGCACGTGAGTTGTTAGGACGTTGATGTTTATCATATTTCATTACAGTACAAGAGTACTGTGATCTGCAGAAAACTGCCCGCTCCCGGCCGCAGCAAAGGATCGAGGATATTGAAAGAAAGGTAAATAGGATAAGTAGGAGACGACTAGAAAAGAAAAAAGCATTTACAGAAGACAAATTTTTTAATTCAGTCATGTAACCGACTTCACCCAATACGAATATAAATGTAAGGCGTTACAAAGTTAGCTACGTAACATATTTTTACAACAACTTACAAAATTGTTCTATAATAAACGTTAAGACTAGGGCTGATAGCATTCAAAGGTTAAACCATAGAACAAAAGCGAAGAAATATTTATTTTTTCTTGGAACTGATAGAGGGTCATAGAGACGTCTCTATTGCTGGAAAGTAAAGCTCCACAATCAACATTCAACATTTATCCTTTGTCGGTAGGTCAAGAGCTTAAGGACAAGGAGAAAAACTATTTGTACTAGTGAAAATATACGTCAGAAATTTCTTACGCTTTATGAGGTTAGTGTGAAGGAAAGTAATACTAACACAAATGAGCCCCCACCCACACCCTCAGCACTTAACCCAAATATCGCCAGTGTCATTCTCCACACTGTTCAGTATATGTTATCTTCGGTACTGGTGAGGAGAATTTGTATAATAATCAAGAATGTTTTACTTGCATTTCCTGTTTTCTCACAACCGTTATTTTTGATTGAGCAGGGTTACTAAGAGGAGAAATAAAATGATCACCTATGTTAGGGGTTTTGACAAGGGTTAACTGAAGCGTTTTCAAGCCCGACCCACTGTTATGAGATGAGAGGTGATACAGGGACCTTAAATATGGTAATAGTACAATCAATGTCAATAGAAATAAAAATATACAAAGTTACTTATTTACTTCTTTGACTGCATAGCTAACATACATTATCTGCCTTTTTAAACAAAGGTGTATTTACACCCCCTTTATCAATACAAATGGACGATCAAAAGAATTTAAAGCAAAATTTACAAGCTGTATGCACGTCTTCTTTAAAACTATTTTATAAATCACGGTAGCAAAACTGATGGCTTGTCCTTATTCCTTTGAGGAGTCACACGAAACAACCTCGATCCCAGGGTTCTCTCCTACCCGTCCCTATGGAGCGAGTAGGAGAGAACCTGGGAGCGAGGCTGTCACAAGCAAAAGCAGCGTAATGTATACTTAGAGAAAGGAGAGAACGGCGCCTTATTTCCTGGCCACCGAGTATTTTTCAACGTTTCTTTGTACATGGTGTAAGTTGAACGGATTTGTTTTTTTCTTGTGTCATACATGCACGCACAAAATACAATTCTGCCTTTTTTCCTGAGAGGAGGCGCGTATTCGAGCGCGTCGCATGCTTGAGGATTGTTAACTAGTTGGCTGTGTCTAAAAGGAGGCGTTAATGTTTGGGTGGATTGCGAAGCCTCATTTGGTATGGGGACTGATGCTGTGCTTGCTGCTGCTGCTGCTGTGCTTGTTGCTGTTGTTGGGCTGCCTGTTGTTGCTGCTGTAGTAACTGAACAGCTGGAGCAGCGGTCCTCTGTCCCAGCGTCACAGTCGCCATCTGCTGAGGTTGCTGGGACTGCTGCTGCTGAACCTGTGCTGTCGTAAGTGAGACTACAGGCTGCGGTGCCACCTGACTTTGAACCTGCATGCCACCTGCAACCTGCTGCTGCTGCTGTTGCTTCTGCTTGTGTACTGCAAGTAACTGTGCCTGAACTTGAGGCGTCATGGGCTTTGCTACACTTGAAGGTGCTGCAACAGGTTGACCTGCCTGTGCACTTTGCATGGTGGTCACGTTCCCGACACCATGCTGCTGTTGTTGTTGATGCTGCTTCTGCAACGCCAGTTTTTGCATTATCTGTTGCTGATGCTGCTGTTGAATCTGTTGCCGCAGCTGTAGCTGTTGTTGAGGGGTCAAATGCGACAGCTGCTGTTTTGACAGGATCTGTTGAATCTGCTGCTGGGTGAGAGTCTGTGGAGCCTTCTTTTGGAGGATAGCAGCAGCCTGTGCTTGTTGTTGGTTTGCCATCTGCTGTCTCTGTTGAACAGAAGCTTGTTGAACTGTTCCTTGCTTAGGTATGTTAACAGCGGCAGCGGGGGTACCGGCACCTTTGTTAATTTGCCCTTGATTCACGTGCTGAATCTGAAAGCGCTTGAGCTGCTGCTGCTGCTGCTGCTTTAGGTGATCTGCTTGTTGCCTTTTCAGTTGTTGCTGGATTTGCTGCTGTCTGAAGAAAGCAACTTGCTGGGGCGTTAGCTTGACTCCGGCCTGGTTTACATACTGCTGGGTAGCCACTGGAAGACTGTGGCCTATTGACAACACAAATCAGAGAACATTACATCAGAAGCAACATTTACACTTTCAATCCCAGTGGTGGCCAAGCAGTATGTGATAGACGGGGAGTGGAAGTGGGAGGGGGAGGGGGGTTAACTAGGGGTGCGTGTCATTTATACAAACCACCCGGGTGGAAATCTTGTTCAGAAACATCAATCTATAAAATTCGACCCGGTGGGAGAACGAAAAGCTATAAAGTACACCCAAATAGAATAGCGAGAACTATTTGATTTTCCAACCGGAATTTCCGGTTTTCCCAAGTAAATGGTAAGCACTCTAGATCTCGTATGGAGTGACTGAGTTGATAATACGGGTATGTACGTAAACAAACCACACACACACAATACATACTTGCAGAAGCAACTGATGGAGAGGACGTCTGCTGACCAACCTATGAGAAAAAGAGGATCACCATCATTCATATGTTTAGTCTGGGTTTTGTGCATATGATTATTTTATACACTCACTTTAATAAATTACCATCACTGGGTAAATCACAAACTCACAGTTGACCGGGTCTCCAACTGGTTGTTGTTGTGACCAGTTATTACAAAAGCCAGGCTTTGAATACTGAACATGATTGTTACTTTTCAGGGATGTTTATAAACTGTTAAAAATTAAACCATTACTGCCATGTATTGTCTGCAGTTCACATACACGATTATTTAATGCAGTCAAATGTAATTTTAAATAAAGTAGTTAACGAGGAGCATTAGCCTTCCTTTGTGGTCAGCGGCATTTACAGATGCGCATGCAACAGGATTCCACGTGCTCATGAACCAAAGTGTGTTTGGCATGAGCATGGGCGTTTCTTTAGTGATGGTGTTGTATTAAGCTTGGAGCTCTTCCCCTTTCCCTCCACATTTTGCCAGTGTGACGGCTGCTGGCTCTCTTCTTTGTGGGTGGAGCTCATAGCTGGGTTGTGTGATTTGCTGGCAATGGGAGCAGTCTCCATCTAGGAGCTGGATACCACTAGTGAAGGCTGCTGGATGTCTCAGGCACCCAACCTCCACTTGCGAGGTAGTTGTTGAAAACAAAATTATTATGTAGAGGTGCTTTTTACCTGACTGACAACTGTCGATGATGATGCAGGTGCTAAGCTGCTGGCGGCACCAAGTGTCATTGATGTTGCAGTAGCTGAGGTTGCAAGAGGGCTGCTTACTTGACTTGGCTGAGTCTGCAAAACTCTTGTTGTGGATGTCCCAGCAGAAGACGCATTCTGGAAAAATTATGCAAGTGGCTCATAAACCCTTTACCTTCATTAGCCAAACCCCACTTACGTCTTTATCATTTTCACTGAACATAATCGNTGCAAGAGGGCTGCTTACTTGACTTGGCTGAGTCTGCAAAACTCTTGTTGTGGATGTCCCAGCAGAAGACGCATTCTGGAAAAATTATGCAAGTGGCTCATAAACCCTTTACCTTCATTAGCCAAACCCCAACCTTTGACACAATACCTTACGTCTTTATCTTTTTCACTGAACATAATCGCTTTTGCTCTTACCGAAGAGATTAAAATGATAAATGTTTTTTGATATAAGCCACTTTGAGTTGACTTTAGCCTTTTCAGCAAAGCACGAAAGAAGATAACCTCATTTACGTCTGAGTGTAAATACCGGGAAAAACTTACCTTTACACCTAAGACTAACTTTGAAAAGAGGATTTAAGGTAATAACGAGAAGCATTTTTTTAGAGAAAATACTCGCATGCATGGTTTTTCCACAGTAATTTTAAAACAGTACATAGCTTTGCACTTTTCATTTACGATTTCCGAGCCGAGAATCCCCTTTCCCAAGGTAAGCCTCTTTCTTTTGAATGGGGGGGAAATCAAGCAAATACCATCCTGATGACTGATTAGTCAATACTCAATCCATATGATAGCAGCTTTTTCACCATGCACTTCAGATATCAAATTGGGCCATATATAAATTTTTAGACCATTTTTAATGACATGCCATTCAAGGACCATCAGTAGGCTAGCCTGTGTAGCAGTCGTTTCCACTTCCTCTTAGCCAAGCCAGAGACGTGAGGGAGATGCGGGAAGGCCACCAAAAATTGCTCCCTTCTCTACTTGGGCTTCTCGTGTGATTCTTCCACGCGGCTAAAAGGAAGCGGAAACGACTGCTATGTAGGCTATCAGTAGACCTACTTCCGCTCATACTGGTTGTGCTGATCGTCTGACCTACCACCCCCTGATGTGAAAATGCACCATTATGAAAAGCAATTTCTGGTCCGTCATTTAGCTACCTTCGTTTATTAGAGTCTTCCAGATGGTACAGACTGCATCACTCCTATTGAAAAACTCTCAACGCCCTTTTAAAAACCTTATGAGATTCTAAGTCCCCACCAAACAACTTTTGGTACTTACAGTTTGAACTTGAACCAAAGTTTTCGCTTGCATCCTCTTGTTAATTGTTGCAAAGGAGGATGATGCCATGGAACTGAGGCCTGTAGCATTACCCTTGTGTGTGTTGACTACAATACTCGATCCACTGCCTGTTGGTACTGCCTGTCCACTCAGCACTATACCCGCAGCTGTCAATCAAACAAGTTTGAGTAACTGGTAAATTCTTGCTCACACTTGTCTTAACTTAAAAACCATCAATGCAATGTATAATGCTTAGAAATAGACTAATCTTGCTGGATATATAGCGCTGATGTAGAATTCTCTTTATGACTCAAGTTGTCTGATTGGACTCTTCTGACAAATAAATTGCTAGCCGTCTAAGTTTTGAACTAGCCCATTTACCTGAAGTCTTCAATAAAGTGGATGCAGCTGTGGTTCCAGCTGCACTTTGAAGTGTTACACTTTTCTGAAGAGCTGCCATCGCCTGAAAACATTGAAGGTGACACATTATTTTGATGTAATCATTGTACAGGGTTGCCACCCACCACCTCTTCAAAATGTGCTGCCCAACCGCAATTTTACAGGTGAAGTTCTCTTTTGCCAACACTAAACAATACATTTCTGGCTCTAACTTAACATTTTTGTTGACTGTTTTCTTAGTATAAAAATAAAGATTTATCCTTGAAACCTCTGTAATGATGCAGTTCAAACAAAAGGTATTCATTAATTTGTCATTACGACTGCAGTGGCAGTATTATTGTACTACACAGTGTCTGACTTGGGTATTGCTAAAGCAAGTGGGAAGGGTTTTGTTATGTTCCATACTCTTGGGAGGGGCACTACATGTTTTTCTAGTACCCTGAGAGGGTCATACAATCTCAAGAATTTTTCTCTAGATCTCTAACTCCATCCCTGGCTCATTTATACACTCCATAGAGACAACAACAATAGACTTACAGCAGCAGATGTTGAGTTCAGTTGACTGGTGGCTGTAAGTTTTTGAGCAGGGAGCTGTGGAGTAGTGGTTGGCATTTGCTTCGCTGCAGGTGGCTGTTGGGAAACTTGGGCTCCCTGTGGTTGTTGAAGTTGAGATTGTGCAGCCACTTGTGGATTTTGGTGTTGCTGTTGACTTTGTTGTTGTTGCTGCTGCTGCTGTTGTAACTAATGCAAAACAATGCAAGTAAGATGAATGCAGGGTTATTTTTTTGGCAAAAAAATAGGTACCATGAACAGAACTGTATTGATCTGTCGAAGCACTGCCTCAAAATAACTGCACAATTGTTATAAGAATGGCCGTTAGGTTCAACCTCAGGCAAGCACTACATCTGTTTGAACTATGGATGATACACTTCACAAAGTATAAGGGGAATTAAAATGCCATGATTTAAAGTACATCAACAATAACTTCACTTTAACACATCATTTTCTTTCCTTGCTTTAAAATACAATAAAGTACGATGGAGATCAGCATAATGTAAAATAACCATCTCAATGATAAAATTATAGTAAAATGTGAGGGATAGGACCCCAATATAAAAGTGCAGTTTTCTCTCACCACAGCACTCTGTGCAGCCGCCTTTTCTCTCGCAATCCTTTCTGCCTTCTGTGTAGCTAGCTGGACTGGGTTTAAAGTCTTTTCTTCAGAAATTCCACTACAAAAGATAATAATGTTTCATTTATGAGTAGCATATTAAAGAATTAACCAAGATAATACAGCCACAACAGGTTTGTATGGAATTTTAAAACTTGACATCAAAGATACCAGTGCAGTGCTCTACCATTTGAGCTAGTAAGCCAACTAGGCGCAGGTCAATGAACTGGTTGATTACAAACCCATGAAAGGGTGAACTTCTTCCAGTTGACTTGTCCTGTACCCAGGGGGGGGGGGAGGGGGGTACTTTAGGAATTCCCGGGTAGGGATGTGCTGCTGGGACCCTGGAACCCTTAGCCTATACCAGAGCTAGTTCAGCTGAATTTTGCTACCCTATACTAGAGTAAACTCCCCTAACCCCCCCTATCCAAGAGTAGCTGTTTTCCAGAAACTACTGAGGTCACTAGCACAGTCTAGCCAAAACAAAACCTTATACCACAATCCCTAGTCTAGATAAAGTCTTCAACCAACTGATCAGTTTCCTGAAAAAGAATACCCTATTCTAGACCCAAACGCTCTGATTTATATACCCTATCCTACAGTAAACTGCTTGAAAACCATACCCTTCACAGCGGCACGTACTTATATAGCCCATATATGGCAGTACCCCCCCCCCCTCCCCGGTCCTGTACGAGCCTAAATTTAACAAGCTTGCTTTTCACAACTGCAAAAGTTGCGTCTACAACTGTGATGAACATCTTTCATTTAATTCTTCATCTCACAGTTCCTAAGTAAGATTTTCGTATCATTTTTTCAACAATAAATGTGTTGAGTATCTCACCTTGCTACCAACACTGCTGAGTGCTTGAAATTTTTCATCTGAGGATCAACCAACCTTGAAAATAAACAACAGCATCACCTCAACAAGGAAAATATAGAAATCTTGGCAGGGAATTCAAGTGAAGAAATGCGCCTTGCAGTGATGAAAACAATAATAATTAAGTTACATTGTCATTTGGTTTTAAAAATCATAAATGCTGTACTTAGTGAAAGATTCCAATTAACTGAGTACACAACAAATGAAAATGATGCTTATGCCGCTTGAAGAATCAAGTAATTCTCTTAACCTTTCTATTCTTGAAGTCAACTATACATTACAACTTTTGAGTCTGAAAAGAAATCCAGTGATGCGTTCATTGAAATTAAGTCTCCTGAGCATTACTTTCACGTGGCACTTTTTACCATTATTTTTTTCCTTTCTCAATTTTATTACAAAATTTAGGTGTTCTGCGTTGTGGACACTATTGTTGATCGTTTATGTTTTTTGGTGCAGCTGTTGTTCTGTAGCCTCCCCGCAGACGTTCTTAGGGGTTCATCACACGTTCCTGCCATTTTGAATTCTTCGCGAATAAATGACATACTTCATAGTGGATATGATCTACATTTTATTTAAAAGGTTCTCACATTTGCTTGAGGGTGGGCTTTCTCTTCTGTGAAGTCTTTTTGACAAGTTCAAACATAGATGACCGTACAACAGTGGGAGAACGACCAGCATCTTGCGCTAAGATATGATGGGTCTTGAAAGACCTGCCGCTTGTTCCCTTCACCTGAATTATAAAACAACAAATTACTTAACCAAACTACAGTCTTCAGCACTATCTTCATCCTCAAAGTAGCTCAAAAGCCAATAAATAGTGCTAGCCACTTCTTATTGGCCTATTTAAACCACTTCTAGCTAACTACAGTTGAACCTCCTGTAAGCGACCACCCAGAATTTGCACATTAAGTGGATGTTTAAGAGAGTTGGTTGCTTACAAGAATCAAACCATAGGAGTCCCTTTCGAGAAGAGCTCCCAAGGTATTTACTTTGAGGAAGATAATTTATTACATGCAATTTCTGAGTTATGATATACGTAGTTCCACGTTGTCACTAAAAGTTCTTTGCATACTCTTGGTAGTGTACTTCATACTGTGAACATAGATATCACACCATGGGTCAGATGGTCGCCTACAGAGGTTAAAAACAATGGAAAATTATAAAACCATCACCCCAATCTGAGGTTGCTTACCAGAGGTCAGGGCTAGCAGAGCTTGGCGGTCTGTGGCACCTAACTTTTGCTCTTGGGCGACTAGAAAATCTTAGTTTTTTCATACAAATCATATGCTGGGCGCCCTGGATTTCACAAGTTCAGAGCTCTGAGCTCCCTTCAATTTCTCTTAGAGTACAGCCTTGAGAGGTGGTCATTCACAAGAGATTCTACCTACAGGGCTTTGACTAGAAAAACTTGGGTGTTTTGGGTAGATGGTTGCTTACAAAAGGTGGTCGCACATAAAGAATTGACTGTGTCTGTAAATCTACATACCTTGACAGGTAAATGATGAGGCTGGGTAAGATAAGGTTGTGGGAATGCCTTGTACTTTGTCTTTAATTTCTTCAAATTTTCCTCCACTCCAGGCTAATGGTTCAGAAGAAAAACAGATGGTTTTACTGTTTAACTCAAAAAACCCTAACACCTGAAAATTTTCAGGAATGTTGATTGTGTAGAGACCAATCACAATAAAGTCCAGGACACGCGAGCAAACCTCAAAACCACAAATTATTTACAGTTGCTATTTGCATTTTCGGTTTTGTGAGTTTCACAGTAAAAACATATCACAGAGGACATATTAATAGTAGTATTATTTTTGCTTTTCTTCAAATTTATTCCATACAGTTCAATACAAATTAATTTATACATTTTTGAACACTTAAAATATTATTCTAACAATCAGAAATAAAATAGTATTGAAATTCTCACCAAAGGAAGTTTTCCTTCCTCCCTGGGAATGATTATGTTCAAGTAGCGATCTCTGCACTATTAAAAAGTAAGAGAAAATCATAACATCATTTTAATTACAAATTGACCACTCACATGAAAAAACTGTTTCAAAGGCAGGGATTAAAATAATGACTCTCATACACAAAGGAAAAACTGGGCACACAAGAATAAAAAGAGCACACAAGACTTTTAACTTGAAAACTTGGACATAGCACTGATTGTTGCGGTATAACACAAAATTCATGCATGATTTAATGATGACTAATTACATGATGTAACAGTCATTGATTAGTGAGATCATTACAACTAGTTGCAAAACTTGAGAGACACCAAAGGGTATGTGAATATTATTCTTATTTACGGTTTGTTTTAACATTTCTTGACTGATTGTGATTCCTATTGATATCTGTATGTAGATTTCAAATTTATCTTCTGTCTCTCTGTACATTTTGGATGAAATAAACCATGTGCAGTATTTGACACCTTGGTGACTCGCAGCTTGCAGTATACCGATTAAGTTGCATTATTTTTATTTGTTATATACCACTGTATTGTATTTCTCACACAGAATTTCAGTTTCAGCACCTCAGCAAGGAGTTAACTCTATGTTTCCAAGAGTACCAAAACTGACGGAAAAATTTCCAGTGAGTACAAAAAATAAAAACAAACAGTACTATGAAGTGTTGAAGTGAAAATGTTATTAGAGAGATTAAGATTCATGTTTACGGCATACGGCAAACGGCAAACGTCAGTTGAAAATTTCTCAGAATAGAAAATAAGCAGATAAAAACAGCCCAGAACGATTCTTGTGGACAAAACTGGCATAAAACTACTTATTTTTGCGTAGAAGCAATAAACAGTAAACGAAAAACAAGAGGAAAACTTGGTCACGTGGTACAAATTCACGTTTGCCGTTTGGCGTAAACGTGAATCTTAATCTCTCTATTATTTGAAGGAAACATCACTCTATTTACATGATTTACTTCACACTCAAAAGTCTAAAACACTGGAACTACATTACAGTTATCCATAACTGAATAAAAAGGCTTAACCCTGTAAGTCCCACGAGTGATCAAAATCAGTTTTCTTCTAACAATATCATTATATAATCAGGGCTGTCAAAACGTTTTTAAGTAGCAGGCTGATAATGATTAGTAGGCGTCTTGAGGGCCGAGGCATGTAGGGACTTTTTTCAATTTAGAGTCTCGGGAAATGGCATTTCCAGGGATTTTCAAGAGGTATTATTTTTCCACTGCCGACACCATGTTGTCTTGTCAGAATACAATCTATACTCGGAACAATGCAGTGGAAATGTCCCAAGCGTTCCATGATATCGAACAGTTTGACCATTTCACAGATCTAAACCAGTTTAAATATGTATTCAATGTCATTCAAAACTAGGAAACAGATGCTTTACAGTACTTTAAATGATGGTGCTTATTTTTTTTAGTAGTTATTGGTAGAAGGAGATGAAAGTAAACATCTAAGGATGGCTAACTAGCCGGGAGTTTTGGCCCGCTACCGGCCCTTATTCACAGCCCTGCATAATGAAGAGGAAATATTGCAAGAACTAATAAATTGATCAGGTGACAGAGAATGCTTTGATCTTCAAACAAATTCTCTCAACTGACTGTTAAGGAAATGTATGGAGATTGTTCTGGAGAATTTGTATTTGGATATAATTATTTGGAGCTTAAAGTGTTAAGAAATAAGTATAGGATAGTCTGGGATAGTACAATACCTGGCGTACTGAACGGAATGTTCTGCTGGTAAGGTTGACAATGTTGCAGACAATGTCCCAGTTGGGTGTTTGGCTAGGCACATTAACAGCAAGATCAACCGGCAATTCTTGAAGCGAGTTAACAGCCTAAAATCCAAACTTTTCTTTAGTACTCCATGTAACAGCTTAAGGGTAGTTTGGTTGTTTTTAATAATTATGCACCATTGGTTTTTAAGTAAAGTGTAAGTATAGGCACAAGGACTTTGTGCTTATGGCACTGGCAAAAATTCTTGGGGTAAAGATTACCTTTTGGGATTTGCCAGAATAAGTGACACACTTTTAAGCAAAAATACTAGCAAAAGCTGCCCTTGAATAAGCCTTGTTTCCTTCCAGCAACAGTGCGGTGTTGTCGATTGCCTGTCTTTTCAAATGTTTTGTTAAAGCTCATATATCTGATTAGAAGAGGGAAACAGACCCTAAATGACATTTTTTGCTACATTTCTTTTGCTGTTCTTATTGTTTTTAAAAACAAAGGGAAATAATAATTATGTAGCAGTACCATGTTATTCACAAATGAGAGAATTGATGTACATGTAAGTGCGACACCAAGAAGACCAAAGAAACTTCACCAGTGCTTATTTGGGTACACAGACTGCTTATACCTACATAATATGTGAAAGAGAGTTTTACTACTGTGGGTCTTTGCAACTTTGAGACTAAAACTATCTTTGAGTATTCTTATAGTCACAAACCTGTAATAAAGCCCAGTCTTCATGGATCAACCATTCTGGAATTCCTGCACCCTGCAGAGAAATTATTTACTCATATTAAACAAACTACACATGATGAGCAGTGAATTACATCTCTGAATTTTTCTTCACTGTATAATTCCACAACTTTATACCAGACATCTCAAGACGAAAAAGGAAATTTGTATCCACTATATNCTTCACTGTATAATTCCACAACTTTATACCAGACATCTCAAGACGAAAAAGGAAATTTGTATCCACTATATAATTATGTTAGCAATAACATGATAACAAACCTGTGAATAATCTGCCTGTTTGACAATACTGGGGGCAGCTGGCTGTTTGATCTGCTTCATCTTGGATTTCTTACTTAATGAGTTACGGCGACCTCTAGCAAATGGATCAAATCCATTCCTATCAAACACTGATGTGGGACGGCTGACTCGATCTCTGTGAAACGAGAAAATAAAATAAGTCAAGTATATGTTGGAGGCACCAGGTGCCAATTGCACAGAACATAACATTACAAATAACTGCCAACGTCTAGCTCTAAAATACAGAGTTTGACTGGGGTGAAACTACAAGGAAGGACACCTAACTTTGGTCACACAGCTCTTGTACCTCCTTTCTCCCTTACAAAGTTGTTTAGTGATGGTTTATCGGTAGATTGGTCAAATTTTGAGGCCAAAATTGAAAGGGAGAGGGAAAAGGATGTCCAGCACAATACGTCAACATTAGTAATATCAATTGACCCAAGTTCTAATATCACAAATTGTAGGATGTTAGCTACTAGGTGAAGGTCCTATTAAAATGACCCCAAAATAAAATGTAGACAAACTTCTTTTCTGAGTCAATAACAGTAACAAACTTACTTTGCAGATCCTTGAAGTTGATCCCTGAAGTAAACAACAGACTTGTACACTGTTCTCTTGCCTGTTTGATGAGGTTTTGTCAAATACATTGGTGGGAGACGATTGGCTACCATTGGAGTGCTCTCATAGAGGTATCCCAAGGTAGGATCAACATACAACTCCTCTTGCCCATCTCTGGGAGGAGTGGGTGGGGTCCAAATCTACAAAAAAAGGGAATTGATACTTACAATAATGTTGTTACATTCATACAGTTCTTGAATTAGAGACACTCAAATTGGACTACAGAATGAGACTGAAGCAGAGTATCTATCACTGACTTAGAATACAACTTAAGTGTTGTCTCCAAGCCCTGGCAAAGATGTGCTGAACAAAATTTCCTGACTCAGAGCAATTTTTAGGCTGTTGAATTTGATTATGTGGCCAGTATGTTGAATATTTATTATT